CAGAAAATCTTGTAGTCCCGGGAATCGAAACCGGACCTCTGGATCTGTGGCCAGGAACTCTGACCACTAGACCACACTTCCTTCCATCACAGCATTCACCAATATGCGTATCTTTCGACGATGTGTGGTCTAAGCTACTGACAGCATGAACCATAAACAAATAAATAAAATGCTTAAAGCATGAATGTTCTAGAGCCAGTGATGGAACATGTAGGCAGATTACACACGGAGACGATACGCTCAGTGAGGCTGAGTCCACTTGGTACGTCCGCCACGGTTAGGCAAATCCCCCGTTCATAAATCGTCCTTGTATACATGCAGCTATAGCATACGCGCTTGTGGGTCTGTTTCGTTTTAGTCTCTCTCTCTCTCTCTCTCGCTACCTTTATTTGCCCGGCAAACACAGGAAGACAAGCAAACTCCTTCTCTTCACCCTTCTCTCTCTTTCCATCTCACTTGTGTTTTAATGCGCCGCACAGGGTAGTCAAATATTGACACAATTCGCGCCTGGTTTCAAACCGCACTAATAGCCTAGGTCCTGTCTGCTGTTGATGCTGCTACTGCCAAGCCAGGAGGAGGGGGGAAGATCCCAGCTAGGAGAATAAACAAACCAGCAGCTCTCGAGAGAGGATCAGACGAGCCCCTGGGGGACATGAGGGTTAGAAGTGTGTTTGGTACAGAAGGAAAAAAAAAACACAGACTGTACGAAGGACCGCTGAAAAAGAACAGAACATTTGAATTATATGCATCTGTCACACGTAAAGGCAATGCATAAAAACACTGTAATCCATACTCGTGAAGACAAACTGGGTTGCCACCTCGTACACCTTGACTGTGAGAACAAAGAAAGCCTCTTGTGTGCCCGAAACAACATGAAAACCATCAATACAGCCTTTCAGTAGCCTTCCTTTGTAACAAAGAACAAACATCTTGTTTATTCATTGTAGCATGTCACACACCAAAACAACGTTATTCTGTTAAGTCGTGCTAATTTCTTAAACGGATAAACACGAACTACAGTCCACGTTTTACTTTTATACATACAGATCCCATCTCCACAAGTTGGGGGGTAGGTGCTGGCTTTCGACTGCAGGCCTTCGGGTTCGATCCCGGGTGACTCCATGCAAGATTCATTGTGAAGCAATGGTTCAAATGCAGATTTATCAGCCTTCAATCGGTCGTCATTACACCAGTGATTCGCATTCATCACGGCCACTTGTGGACTGCGACAGGCCTGATCACGCAGTACACTATCATTCTCAGCACTCAGAAGCAATTACGGAAGTGCATATACTCGTAAACGGACACCGAAGCTGTGCCATGGAAAACTCTGATACTGATGAAGATCCTTCAACACTGCCATAACTTAGGCGGTGGCCCGGGTTTGAGCCCGGGTCGGGTCATCTGGGATTTGTGGTGGGCAAAGTGGAACTGGGGCAGGTTTCCAACGAGTACTTTTGTTTCTTCTGCCAATTCGCATTCCACAAATTGCTCCACAATCATCATCGGAACATTATCATTCGGGGCTGGTACAATAGGCCAAACAATGGCCGCAGTACAAAGTGGATTCAGTCTCACTCCATAAGAAGAAAAGTCCAATGTGGACAATTTGGTAGGAGGGTCATAACCAGAGGTATTATTATTATTAGAGGGGGAGGGGTTTCCCCATGCACTTAGACCAGTTATTTGTCCATTGTGCGTCCCCCTTTAATTTCTATTGTCCCCATACCCTACCGGCACTGGTGCGTCCTATCAGCCCCGTTCAGCCAAAGAGGTCGGCCGTCGGTACCTGATATTTCCCCCATCTACCAGAGCCATTGGAAACTACTTGGGCGGGAAACTGTTGCCTAATTTTGCTCAGAGGTCTAGAGACATGAGGATCTTTTACGTGCCGTAAATCTACGACACGGGACCCACGGCTTAAAGTCCCTCCCGGAGGACTTGTTCCCTGCATTTTTCCGCCCTTAAAAATTCCACGACCTCCGCCGGGTTTCAACCCGCGTACCTTGAGTCATGAGGTGGGAACGTTACCCCTAGACTACAGAGGCCGCTATGACCAGAGGTAAATCAGAGTCCCAGTTTCTGTCCTCCCGTCTCTATACTCGAATCAAATGTTCCCCGCGGCTTACCCCTCCACCTGAATGTGGAGGCAGCAGGCTCCAACGTGTTGCAACCTATCTACCGAACTGTCCGCTGCCACATTCCAGACAACCGTAATCTTGAAACTCTCCGACGAGAACCTCAAACCAACGTTAAGAATGTGGGCCTAACTGGGCCTATCTACACCAGCCATTAATTCATGTGATAACTGCGTAACATTTCAAAGACGGAATTTCTTCTAATCAACATACATCTCCACTACAAAAAGCATCCGCTTAATGGTGTTTGTTGTGAGAATCACATGAAACACACGCACAAACACATTCTGTGATTAGAATGCAGTTACGGTATTTAAAACAAATGGTACACATAGTAACCAATGGGCTTTAAAGGGTAAACTGTTTTCTCTGTAGTGAATAAAATAAAGTAGCTTTCCAAATTATGCTATCGTATAATGTGACAAGTGGGTGCTCAGGTTTCGGATGAAAATGATGATTCCATCTTCAGGGTAAAATGCTGTTACTCACCTACTAGACTATACAAAGTCACAGTCCAAAAGATTGCACTATGAATCGTCACCTCTATGAGAACCTCAAATCCTATGTAGGATAAAACAAGACTAGGAGTTCCATCGCCCTTCAGTAGCCCATGTGTTCGCCCTTAAATTTTCAAAAACAATTACCATAAATTCTATCTTGAAACGAAATCGCTAATTTTGAGGCTTAGACGTATGAAATGTTAAACTATGTTGTAAAAATCCAGAACTATCTTCGTACCTGATTGTAGATTCTTCAAGAAATTTTTACAATTTTACCTTTACTTTTAGCGTATTTCTTTTTTCTATTCTTGTCCTGCTTAATCAAGCCACGTGGAAGACGGGCTGACTATATGACGACGGACGCTGACGTCTCAGTCTCCATTGTTAAGATGACACAATGCTCTCAGTGAGTTTTCCTTCAGTCAATTACGTTAGAACACGCACAAAGAAAATTCGAAGATGAATTCTCTGCTTTGTTTCTTTAACAAACGCGAGAACTGTCAAAAGAAAGCACAGTTAGTCGACAGCAACATAATTGAGTGTGTAGTGACATCCCAGGCACCCATTATTTTAGGCTCAATCTGTATACCACAATATTGATCTTTTGTAGAATCCTTACGGTGGTCTTCCGGAAGGAAGTGGACACTACATGATTCACTGGAACATCTTTCTAACCGAATCAACGCCAAAAGTTTATAGAAAGGCAAATCAAAGAAAAGACTCATTTTATGAAACTTTAGCCATTCCAAATTGGCATGGAGGAATGAATTCGAATGATCTTTACAAGACACGCTGAGTTGTTCCATACAACAGGAAAGCAATGTACAACTGAAGCCCGTATTATAGCCTAAACTGGAATACAATGCTCATCTGAACTCCGTGCTATAGCCCGATCTGGAACACATCACACATCTGAACTCCGTACTATAGCCTGATCTGGAATAGTATGCACATCTGAAGCCCGTACTATAGCCTGAACAGGAACACAATGTACATCTGAGACCGGTAATGTGGCCTGAACAGGAACACAGTCTACATCTGAGCTCCGTGCTATGCCTGAACTGGAATACAATGCACATCTGAACTCCGTGCTATAACCTGATCTGGAACATATCGCACATCTGAACTCCGTACTATAGCCTGATCTGGAATAGAATGCACATCTGAAGCCCGTACTATAGCCTGAACAGGAACACAATGTACATCTGAGACCGGTAAAGTAGCCTGAACAGGAACACAGTGTACATTTGAGACCCGTACTATAGCCTGGACAGGAACACAACGTACGTCTGAACTCCCGTGATATAGCCTGAACAAGAACGCAATGTATATCTGAACTCCGTGCTATCGGCTGAACAGGAACACAATGTACCTCTGAGCTCCGTGCTATCGCCTGAACAGGAACACAATGCACATCTGAACTCCGTGCTGCAACCTGAGCAGGAAAGTGTTGTGCAGCTGAACTCCATACAAGTTTCCCAGCCCGATCAGGACAGGCGTTTCAGAGACGTAATTAACTTGGCTTTACATACGACAGGCCTAATAAATGGGCTACATTTTGCAGTGGTAGTGACCCAGTTCAATATTCAACTGTGGGTGCTATGGTCAACGGGGAAGTCAATGTAGGAAACCGGCAATTAAATGCCACCAGCAATGAAACACGCTTCTGCACCACATCTGTGTTTCGCACTGCTCAGCATCTCACAACTAACATTCCAGAGACGTGAAATAAAAGCAGCTGTACGTAAGTTACTTGTAACCCAAATCCTGAGGCAACCCATAATTCACATTTCTCCAGTCTTCGTCAAACGTCTGCCCAGCCATATGCCACGTAGTTTTGTACAACCAGGAAATCTACTTCACGAGCCACTAAGAAAGAAATTAAATTTAACTTATGAAGTTATTTAATTCTAAACTAATGATCAACTCCAGTTAAAATTAATTACAGAATGTCATGCGACAGGATTACCATGTGCATTTGAGAAATTTGTAACTGCCTGTAGTTAGGAACAAAAATTGTATAATTACGTTTGAAACAGATAAATGATCTGGAACTTTCTATAAACTTTTAATTTTTACAATTACATCTGAAACAACACAACGCTTCTTGGTAAGAGGACAGGTTAAAACAGTCCCTGTTTCAGACTAAGTGACGCCTAAAACAGGGAATGGGAACAGCCTACAGCCATGGCACTGCAGCCAATGTTTCGACTTTCAGCGTTAACCTTGGGAAATTGGCTTCCAAGTGTAATATAAAATAATCTTAATGTATCAGGAAGCAAAGATCGTCATTCTGAATACAACCTTTACATAATCCAAAAAAAAAAAATTCTTCTGCTTAGATTTGATACGGGGTACTCACCCCAATGATGGCGTTGAGCTCAGTCATCGTGACCTGCTTGGCGCGCTCCACCGCGGTGGCCACCTGCTGCTGGTGCTGCAACACAGCATCACCATGTCATCATTCCAACGTTACATCCGCTTTACAGCAACATCAAGCATTACATATTGTCTAACCAACAGAAAAACCTCAGTACTCAAGGCGACGACTGTGAGGCGTTTCTGTTGTCTTCTGGGACATTTGCGAATGTATCCTGCAGATGGAAACGTCAGTAAATATCTACCAGACTACACGGCGTTACATCCCAGAAGACAGTAACCTTCTTGAATTAATTCTGGTAACAACCTACCTCAATGGCAGTAATAACTTTTGCAGGACAGTAATCCTAACATTATAGGCCTAACGCGTCACAGAACATTGCAGGTGAAAACACTAAAGGACAGGATAATATGGCGCAGCCTCTGAGAGATCAGGCTGTCTACAGACTATAACCCGTGTTGACAGTACGCCTATATGTTCACGTAACCGGCTTCGTGTCAAGTTAGGAAGAGCCGTCTGTTGTCATACAAAGGAAATAATTCCTGCTTTATGTCCACTTTATCAAGTATGACGTTTTTCATAGATGCATCATTGTGCAAAACTTCAAAGCCCCACAATAAACGCCGACAGTGTTTCTCACTACTACTAATCGCCACACCAAAAATTCGCAGAGCCCCATTCCTGGTATTTGCCGATTGCAGTGGGTTTGAAAGGACGACGATAACAATGCGCACCCAACGGCAGGCTTGTTATGTTGGACTCTAATCCAACTAACGAAAGTGACGTTGGGGCACATTGCCCAGCAATGTGATGACACATAGTCTGGTAGGTATTTATCAATGTTTCGGAGGAACGTTCTGCTTCCATCTTACGGGCGGAATGGGAAATAATGTGTGTGTGATATGGAGAAGGCAGAACCAGCACTAGAGAAGCGTGGTGAAAATATGAATTCTACATCGTTCTGAGAAGTTCTTCTGAAACTTTGGGATGCAATTCGCAGAAAACATCCAGGCCGACTGGCAAGAGGAGCACTGCTTCGTCATGACAAGGCCAGACCCCCCGACAGCCCGAGCATCCCAGGAGAGAATCCAAGAACTTCAGTGGGAACTTTCTGTACATCCGCTTTACAGCCCTGACTTGGCCTCTAGTGGCTTCCATCTGTTTGGCCCTCTAGAATTCATATTTTTTTTATTGTGGGGTGGGACTAAGTCCCTTGTACTGCGGCCACTTCTGGCCTATTGTACCAGCAACAGATGATAGGTGAGGGTGATTGTGGAGCAATTGGTGGAATGAAGTTTGGCAGGGGAAACCGAAGTACTCGGAGAAAATATGTCCCAGCGCCACTTTGTCCACCACAAATCCCACTTGACCAGACCCGGGATCGAACCCGAGTCGCCGCGGTGGGAAGTCAGCGACTAACTGCTTGAGCTATGGCGCGGCCTTGGTAAAGGGTTAATGATGACGTGGTAAATGCCCTAGGAACGATAACCCTGAAGTGTCTACAAGCAGCAGGCCTATGTGGTGTTCTGTGAATATTAAACTGATACTTTGTAGTTTAGATGACGTGCATGCACATGCTTTCACTCACCTCCTGAGATAAGAACGGCAATATCTGTGCGATCATGGCGTTCAGGCGCTTCGCAATCTCCGTCTGCAACAAAGAGCACAACATGAACAAGATACAATTCATCCGAACTACAGGAGTAACGGTGGTTTATTAAGCACCACTGTCCACATCTCATGCCATACGGAGTCAAACAGTAGGTTGAGTCAACCAGAAGCGAAATGCAAAGGACCTGAAAGTAAGCGGTCGTGGATGAATTCAGACACAGGTACTCCTCGCTACATGTGAGCACGAAAATGCGATCAATTACTTTATGTCAGTTTCAATTAACGGCACTCGCTTTAATACGAATGTTTTTCTGTCCGATGGACAGAACGTAGTACTGAAGGAATAAACAAAAAATGTTATTAGGATGATCAAACAAAGGACGTTGATATTGGTGAGCCACGTAGCACGCATGGAGACGACAAATCCAAAGGTTTTATAGAAAGAACATAAAGGAAAGACACTTTAGACCTAGGCGCTTATGTTGGATACTATTAAAATGGATCGTAAGAAATAAGGATTGAAGCACGTGAACTGTGTTCATTTTGCTCATGTTCTTGTAAACATGGTAATGAACCTTCCATAAAAATGGTGCAAATTTCTCGCTGAGCTGAGCAACTATCGTCTACTCAAGAACTCTGCCCTCGCTGATGTTTTGTTATACTTAGTTGAGTGAGTGATAGCAGACTGTAGTTTGCTTCGGATTATGTAAATAAGGTTACTGGGCAGGTCTGAAACAAACTGTGACGTCGAAGTTATGGGCCTATCGCAAATCCGGATATTCAAAGCATTCAAAGACTTATGTTCCGCTCTGAGTTACACAAAACAACATTCGATACGAAATGGCTTCATGTACGTGCTATAGTAGATATGGGTGCAATTTACATTCACAACTTTAATGTCAATTCTCCACAGAAAACCTAACTGGCAGCAACAACATAACCCGCTTTCCAAGAAAACTATTTACATTACCGTAAACTGTTTTCGTTCTTATACAAGAAGAAAAGGTAAAGCTATCCCTGTAATAGGCCGTGGAGGCCCGTAGCGTCGTGAGACGTCGAGGCTCCCACATTTTCTAGAACATCGGCTAACGGGTGGCGGTGAGGTTGTCAGCCTTACGCGCCGGCCGCCCTTTACCATCCAGGAAGATTTCTGATACTCATTTCTATTAGAGGCTGAGTCGACCCCAGGACGATAGTGCGGCTGGAAGGGTTATATCAATTTAAAAATCCAATTAGCTCATCGGGATTCGAACCAGCGACCTTCCAGCTTATACCATAGTGCCCCAACCAACTACGCTAACGCGTACCCCCTGTTATATGTAAAACAAATAAAGAGTTAACTGGTATTTTAAACAACGGAAGTAACTTATGATACAAACCGTCTATAAATACAATTTAATGGTCTGTCACACACAGGTCTGCAAGGAATGGAAACATTTCTGTTCTAGCTTATAGTATGCTGACACTGCAGCTCTTATTCGCTCTAAACCGAGACATTCCGCACCTTGCACAGCAATAACATAAACTTTAAGAGATCAGTGAATTTTTGTTATGTTCAATACCGTATCCCTGTGTGTGTGTATATATACAGACGGTTAAAAGGGGCACGCGGTAGCGTAGTTGGTTGAGGCACTACGCTAAAAGCCGGAAGGTCGCGGATCGAATCCCGATGAAGTCACTGGATTTTTCAATTGACCTAATCCTTCCAGCCGCACTATAACCCTGGGGTCGACTCAGCCTCTTAACAGAAATGAGTACCAGGAATCATTTGGGGGGGGGGGGCTAAAGGGCGGCCGGCACGTAAGGCTGACAACCTTACCGCCTTCTGTGAGCCGATTTTCTCAAAAATGTTGTAGCCTCGACGTCTCACAACCCTATGGGCCTCCACGGTCTGTTACAGGAATAGCTTTGCTTCCTTTTTTACTTTTTCGGTTAAGTGTATGTTCCTTTGATGTCCAACAACCGTAAGCGGTGATATAACACGTGCTTAGATGCATAAAACTCAACCGGCCAGTAAATGGAAATCCATAACTACAGAAAAGTCAATACACGTTACAAGTACGATTAAAACCAATATGACTTCCACAACCACAATATGAAGCCAACGTTTTGTTTTTTGTTTCTTTTTCGACCATTTATAAGACAGCCGTAGCTGTGTGCAAGAAGTTTCTTAATACTCAGAATCTATATGTTTCGACTACACCGCAGTTGCGATTGGTTAAGAGAATAAAATTCCATTGCTTCCAAGTAATAAAAAATACGCACGTACGCTGCTGTCCTGTTGGCCGTCCTCGAAAGCGTGGGCAGCGGATATGGTCCGAGTCCACTGAGATAAGGAATGCATGGGTTACTACACAGCCTAGTTCAACGCGTCACCCCCCCCCCCCGCACAGAAGAAGCCCCTCCCAGGCGTCGC